GTATATATGTAAGTATGTATGTATGTATGTATGCATGTATGTATGTAAGTATGTATGTATGTATGTATGTATGTATGTATGTATGTATTTATGTATGTTTGTATGTATGTATATATTTATATATATATATATATATAAATATACTCCCCGCCCGCTGGAGGAATCCATCAACACACAGAGTTAGATGAGAAACTGAAGGCGATTGTACTACCCCTGATAGAGAAGATGACCTACTTCGAGGATTGCATCAAAAAGGTATGTTCATCTACAGAAGGGATTCACAAGGTAAGTAGTGTGGAGGAGATCCTCACACGTTTAGTGAAATTAGAACACACAAACAAAACTCTACTAGAGCAGAATCACGCCCTAAAATGTGAAAATGCGAAACTCCAACAGCAACATGCATTAAAAAAATAGCCCACAGAGTTCTGCCACAAACCCACATCCTATACATGTCCCAGATACCACAATAACGCACACACCAGGACAACTAAAAACCCCTACAAACAAGGACAAGCCTCCAACATACAAATCAATGCTCAACCAAACACGAAGCACTTCCTCGCGTGAGGCACAAACAAACCTGTTCCAACCAAGCAACCCCCCTTCTATTTGGGATTGCCAAGAGAACTGGGATCTCCCAGCTCTCTATTTTAGTTGCAACACACATGCACTAGATAACGGTACGCTCCCGACGAACAAGCATCTGTCCAAATGGCTTTGGAACTTTCATTTGCTGGAATACATTCCCATATTGCACGCGTCATATCTCTACAAAGATCGTAGCGCAGTAGAACTTGTAGTCCCTACACGTTTTGCAAGCAAAACCAAACAAATCCTACTTGCTCGTGGTTGGCGCATTAACAAGGGCGCAGACCCCGCTAACGTAACTAACCCAATCGCAATAGAAGGCGCTCGCAAACGTCTAGAAAATGCTCATATCAGCGCACTAGCTCGCGATAAATGTACACCCTAATACCCTAGAGTCCTAACCCACCTACTCAATAGTGTACCAATAGCCACCACCAAACCCCAAACTCAATCCGGCCCAAACCCAACAGATACCACAACCACCAACACTACTCATAATTATACAACCACGAAAACCACTGACATACGAAACAGCACACACCCACCCACTGCAAAATCTAAACCTACAAAACCCGCAACACCACCACCAATCGTGGACCCAAACAACATCACAGGCAAAACTAATTCGTCCTCAAGAAACCCCAAACGAATTATAATTAGTGGAGACGAAGCAAATAGAAACACAATTAAAGCTAGAATCGAAGATTCAAGCGATGATGAACAAACCGGTGAAGCCTCAGAGAAATATATGTCAGATGACGAAATAGCATCAGTCTTAGGCGATAGTTCGAGATCCCCACAAGATCGGATGCAGAAACAGAAAAAGAGCTTGCTGCATTCGAACAAAACCGAACCAATAGTGAGACGAAATCGCAATGAGTGACATTCTCGTGTATTATGTCAACTTAAACTCACTGAAAAACAAACAAGCACAATACAGAGCAATACGTAAACTATGCAGTCAATATGACGCCCTCTGTTTAGTAGAGACGTGGGGCTATACAGACCGCCTCAATGAAGTTTGCAATGAAAGTAATACCAACCTTATCTATGCTTCACCCCCGTCTAGTAGTATACACCGTGGTGGTAGAAACAACGGTGTAGCCTTAATGAGTAGACATAGTTCCAATGATTTCAAACTACATGCACAAAGCCAATGCTTTGTAGCATTCACTTTTCGCATGGTCACCATAGCATGTGTCTATTTAGCACCACATCTAGGAGATGATGTATACAAAACCTTAATGGCACTCAACTGCAAACCTCATGTACTAGTTGGAGACATGAACTTCCGCGATACAGAATATAATGACTTCCTCATTAAATATCCCGACCGTAGAAAATCTATCAAATACTATACTCAGCTACACCAAATGGATCATATAACACCAAACCAATCAACGAACATACGAGTCGATCACGTCTACGCTCAATCACGTACGAGAACACTGCTCACACTCATCAAAGCCGCAGACATTTCACTCAAAACAGATCACGAATGGGTGTTTTCACTCAATATTAAACCACCAGACATACAACACCCCAGTACAATGCCCACATCTATGGAATGTATGTCAGCACACGGGTACAATAGATACCGAATTCGAACTTATAATTGCAATAACCCGCGCTATGCAAATACCTTTCGAGCAAGAATACGGGCTAACTGTAGTTTATGGCTACGGCTCATTCAAAACGCAGACCAAGACAACATCAAATCAGTATATGATACAATAATCAACAAACTATGGAAAGTTGCGCAAGGAACATTTTATGGTTACTACCTCGAACCAAACCCCCACAGATCACACACACCATTACGTGCTACCGAGCGCATCCACAACACCGCAATTGTCAAACTATATACCAAACAAAAGAAATCACAATCCAAGCAACCCTCTATACCAAACACAACAGAACCAACTGCACATATCATCAGCTCGTTTCTGGAAAAACTATTCAATCAGAAAACACCTTACAAAATACCGAAAGAAAACCACACAGAATTCATACCTCTAGGTCATGATATCTTTACTACCCCACACATCATGCAAGTTATATTAGCATATGATAGCCGAAAGGGTTCCGGCCCCGACGGAATACATATCGATATTCTAAAAGCAGCTATCAAAACATACCCAATAGGACACGATCAGGAGGGTAAACCAAACCCCAAGTCACCAATCCTCAAAGTATTCGACTATCTGTTCAATAAGATACTACAGACGGGTAACATTCCGTCGGCCTGGCTTTGTACACTCATTGTACCTATACCCAAAACAGAGGTACCGTTAGGTCCGGAATTCTTCCGTCCTATAACACTTACACAGATACTACGACGTATCTTCCAAATAGTACTACTGAGTTACATGAATCAACTTTCTGCGTTCAAAACACATAGCAGGTAAGGTGGCTTTAAATCAGGCTACTCATGTTTTACGCACGCCCTCACTCTACACGAATACATCAATCAATCAAGTCCCACAGCCAAACACGCACACCGGGTATTTCTTGACATTAAGAAAGCATATGACTCAGTTAAACTTGATCGTCTGTGGCGTCTTCTGCATAATAAACGGGTACCCACTCCATTAATCACCTTATTCCAAAACATGTACCACAATGTAGCTTCCCGTATTACATATCAACAAGTCCTTGGGCCTACGTTCACACGTGCCCACGGTCTAACACAGGGCGACCCAATAACTCCAACACTCTTCAACATATACATTGACCCTCTATTCGATAGTCTTGCTAAAGTTGA